AGCAGGAAATTTGACATTTCGAGTCGGGACCCTTCTTCAGAAAATCTTTTTCTTCAGAATCATCTTTTTCTGAAGAAGGGTCTCGACCCGAAATATCAACTTTCCTGCTCCTCTGATGCTGCCTGGCCTGCTGTGTTCCTCCAGCTCCACACTGTTGTCTCTGACTCCAGCATCTGCAGTTCTTACTGTCTCTGCTCTGAATTAATTCTTTATTTTGGCTTCTTGAGTGTTCCATTAATTTTTTGTGATTAAATTTCTGCCCTCTAATGTCATCTTGCTGAGCAATGTAAATACTGGTCTTTGTCTTATCATAGACTTTCAGAACCTTGAACAAGGGTCAGCAGGCCAACGCTTAATCTTCTCATATCTAGTGGAAACAAAGCTCCAACTGTTCAGGTCTCTCTTCACAACTGTTATGTTAATATCCTGCTATTGTTGTACCTTTTCCCTTACTTTGTAACAGGGTGCTCAAAATTGCAGTGTTTCTAACTAGGGCCCTGTTATTTCAACTTTTAGCATATCTGCAACTTGTGGTATGTACCAAGATTCCCTTTCACCTCCTATTTAAAACCTCTTGAGCATTTTATGTCCCTATCTTTGCCTCCAAAATGCTGTGGAATTGAAATTGAACATTGAACTTCCTATTGTATGTCCTCCTGAAATCTTTCACAATTTGGATTCTCCTTGAGTTACTATTAACTCAGTTCCAAGTTTGAGAGCATTTACATGTCTATGATAAGTAAGCACAATTCCTCTGCATTTCCTTAAGAATGCACATCTTCAGTCACGAGATATATACCTCCCAGCCCTGTATAAATGAAATTCCTGGTGTAACATGGGACATTGTTTTTCAATCAGATGTGCTTCACGGGTCATAAGGACTGCAAAAAATGTTTTCCATTTTGTCAATTGCACAGATTAACTGCCAACCTTGAACACCCATTTTGTTCGAGAAAATAAAGGGCTGTCTTTTTGTAAAAAATTTTCAGTTAAAACTAAATATTAGTATCTGAACCAAAAATTTTGCCTTAGCAATTAAAATACTGTATCAACAAAAGGCAATGAGTGATTTATATGAATAAAAAAAATTAAGGCAATGACTGAAAACTAGTTCAAAATGCAATATTTTTAGCTTGAAGTAAATGCATCTTTCTTGAGTGATATTCATTACTTTATTTGTCTATTAGGATTTATACCCTACTCTGTGAAGAATGTCAAGCAGTGAAACTTTTGAGGTGAAAAGAGATTGGGATGTGTTTTAATGACAAATATACAAAGTAAAACTGGCTTTTTGCTGAAATAAAACACTGAATGAGACATGAATTGCAGAGCAAATATTTCACAACTGACTACTGTATAAGCTATCATTGCATCTGTATTCTTTAAGTGAAAAGCAAAGTTTAATTAAATAGTGTTGTCTTCCTGTTTATTGTGTTGATTGTTGTTTTAGCTGGAGTATTGAATTTTGAGTCAATTAAAATCCTTAGAATTCTTTCACCTTTGCATGTAGCTATTTCAACATCATTTACACAATTCCTGTGTTGCCTTTACCTCATCGTACAATGCACTTCTCTACATTAAACTTCATTTGCTGTGCTCTGCCTTCTTGCACACTTTGCACTTCCCAAGCTGTGCCCTGGAATCAACTTTGACAATTTGTATTGAATTTCTGAATCCAAGTCCTTGATGTAAATTAGGTATTGTAGTGATAATCAAAATCAGGA